ATATATATTCTTGAAAGCATTCTTACTTTACAGCATTTTTTCACACCTGCCTAAAACTTTTGCACAGTACAGAAATGTAAAACAATCTGTGTAACTCTCAAGTTGATGGCAGAGCAGAAAATATGCAACATTGATATCTTACAAAAAGGCTCTGTAAATCCATACATTTCTGTTGATGTCAGGGATAAACTGTCATTCAGTTGAAATTGCTGCATTTCTTGCAGGATCAGGATCTAAATTGTAACTACAGAGAAAACTCTTTCAGCCTATGCAGGTGTCTGCAACTAGGTAATGAGAAACCCTTTACAGTTTTTAGATTAATAAATAAAACTTAAGAAGTAACAGAAATGTTAGCAACTTCGCTATGTTAGAATTTCATTCTGCAAGACAAACTTTTAAGAATATTGCCCATGTTGTAAATGAAGACACATTTGAAAATGGCTACTGCAAGTGTAATATAGAGTATTATTCCTGGATTGTTTTATATATCAGTTTTATATGTGTTATATAAATATACCTATTTATACACAAAATCTTTTTAACATATTGTAATTGTGGCAATATAATGAAACCATTGATGACTCGATTGCTACACAGAAGGCATCTTTGCTACATGTCAGTAAGGTTTTTATAACATAAAACAGCATTGAGTTGTGTTTTCAAACTGTGAAGAGGCACTTTGTTGAAATTGTTACATCAGACCTGTAGATTATAGACTCTGTTGTGTGGATCACAATTAAACTGTTCTAGTGAGGTTATTGTTGTGGACTTCTTGTAAATTATATAACTGATATACCTATTATATAACTTTCATACCTAACAAAAGAAATATTTCTGAAATTCTGACAAGACTCATTTTCAGTGCTCATGGTTAAAATGATATAAAATATTTCTGAAAGATGTATTCAGCTGCATCTACAACATTCATACAAAGTCACTTACCTTTTACTGGGGGCTGTTGCCACAACAAACAAGCAGAACAAACTAGAAAATATTAATGTGGAGCTTATAAAGCCATGGGAAGCCTTTGAGAGAAAAACAGTATTGATGCGGACAGCCCTTCTTCTAGCTTGGTCAAACTTTCCCAGGATGACGTTGTTTTTCCCTAACATTAATTTATGAAGTGGAAAACTGTTAATAAGAAAGTAGGGGAATGGCAGATGATTCATCCTCCAGCAACAACATGGAACAGAATTCTCTATTTCATTGACAATGCTGAGGTATTCATCTGGTTCAATGCATTTCAGTTTCCTTTACATTTCCATCTAATTTTAAATCTGCACCGTACAACAATTATGCACTTCAAGGGCATTATTCCTTGTGTTACTGCTGTAATTCCAGTTCTAGGTTACTTATTGGAAGAGCTGCCAAGAGCCATATTGGGCAACATATGATACGATAATGGTGATGAGAACCTAGGTTTATCTAATCTTGGGTACTGAACCTCATATGGAACAGTTGGAGGGAGTGGGTGTGTTATCACGGAGATGAGAAGACAGTGGGGAGATATGATACCTGTTTCCAAATATATGAAGGGCTCCCATGTAGAACATGGGGCAGAATTGTTTAGAGATTTCCAGAAGATAGCACAAGGAACACAAATTACAAGGAAGTAGATTTCAGTTGGACATCAGGAAAAATATCCTAAGAGAAAGAGTTGTTCAACAATGGAACAGGTAACTTAGGAGGTAGTGCTGCTGAAGATATTTAAAAAGAGGCTGGATGGCTGTATCTTTGGGATGGTGGAGCAGTGGATTCCTGTACTGGGAAGGGGGCTTCAATTGATACCACAATCTTTATACAATCAGTCATGTTTTTTAATTCATTCTTTTCTGTATGTATTTATGAATAGACTTATGCTTAAACCATTATTTGAAACAAAGAGACCTTTTTCTAAGTAGATACTCACCAAACCATTAACTTGTG